TTTAAAGCTCCGGCGTGTGTGTGATACCTATACAATATCTAAACAAGTAACTGGACTCGTCTTCTTGGTTCTTTCGGTAAAGTCACGTAGAAGGGAAATAATAAAAACATAATAAAGTAATTATTTTTTTCATTACTTTATTATTTCCCTTCTACGTGACTTTACCGAAAGAACCAAGCAGATGAATCCCTGCAGTCACGAAAGCTTTAAATCTAAAAGTAACTGGACCTTCGCGGCCAGCATCATCATCATCAGTGACGCTGATGATTATTTCCCTTCTACGTGACTTTACCGAAAGAACCAAGAAGATGAATCCCTGCAGTCACGAAAGCTTTAAATCGAAAAGTAACTGGACCTTCGCGGTCATCATCATCATCATCAGTGACGCTCAGTCCACTGCTGGATGAAGGCCTCCCAAAGCCACCGCGATGCTGCGATGTAATGATCCACCTAGCAGCTGGACATGAACTGATTTCATCGCTCCATCTCCTCGATGGACGTAAACTCGGGCTGGCTTGTTCCATTCCGTGGCTTGAATAGTCATTTAAAGCCCTCGCTGGCAATCGATCCACTGTCGTGCTGGATGACGCCCCCACCCCCCATGGCGCCGGGTCGGTCATTGGGGTTTGACCATACTTCACCATGCTTGTCAGTGCGAATTGGTGAACTTAGGCGTGGTAGGAAACAAAGGACAGGCCACTGATGTTAGTCGTGGCCGGGGAACGAACTCTGGTTGCCATGCAGGTATAGTGGCGCAGTGCTCTAAGAACCACTGCCACCACTGCCCCACCTTGTCACCAACCTGCAACTTAAACTAAAATGTTTTTTTTTTACCAGGTAAGGCCCACTGGGCTATGTAGATATTTTTTCAGAAGCGATCTGGCAGCAAACGATATCTCAATGAAGTGCTTTACCATGTGGACATTTATTAGAGCAGCCACATACTCGAAACGCGCGTTTCTAAATGTGGAGGGGAAAACCGTAGAACCCGTAATCCACGCGACCACGGGGAGAACACGCAAACTCCAACTAAACAGTCGGCGTCGGGGGTCAGGATCGAACGCACGACCTCCTGTATACCGGGCGAGGTAGTTAACATCCCGCCACCGCGGCGCCCGCTTGAGACGTGGCCCAAAATTAATTCGCCGCGTTCCAAGAACGACTGCTAAATTTATAAACGCCGCTCACGATGCTCCCGTCCCTTAACACTTGCAAAACAATATTTAATCTGCCTTGCGCTCAAAACCTCCGTTCGCTCCTGCGTTGTGTGGTGCTGGGCCATTTGATTTCGCTGCTCGGAGCGCGCAAGTGTCTCTTTGGAGCCCTCGTGTTAGATAAATAAAAACGGAAAACTTCGAATTTAGAAAGATAAAAAGTACTGGTCTAATCTCAACGTGTAAAAAGTTAAAGGTGCAGCCCTGGAATTGCTTGCTCACGCCGCTGCTAGCAGAAGGCTATATCAATAGAGGGTGCTCTGATATGGACTGATAATTTGGCCTCATCGTCACGGGCCTTAATTACATCACGACGTGGATATATATCGCTTGTCAATGCGAGCACATATTACGACGCTGTTCAGGAACAATGGAGATTATTTATGTCACGGGTCGATAAATAACGGATCACAATTTGTTGGAGGCCAACTCTTGGTTGCCGTGTACAATGCGTGGCTCCGTCAGGAGAATGTGGAGTTACCCTCACTCATTCAGGGCCGTGAACGGAGACGAGTAACGCCCCAAACTAGTTTCATATTCAACCGCGTTTGTTGTTCGTGATTTTAGGCTGAGTCAATCTTATCGGGGGCGGCGGGGGGGGGTGGCGAAGGAGGGGGGTGGGGGTCGATTCAGGACAGCATCAGATACCAAACACATCGTGCCAGTGAAGTTGCTCTTGATCCAGGAATCCAACGCAGGCGACCAGGAATCCAACCCAGGTGACAAGCTGCTGGAGCAAGTGCTATGAAGATTGGCACGGCGCTTGAAGGCAATGGTGTGGCCAGGACCACGCCCGACCACCTTTGTCTCTCCAGTTCTGATGTTTTTTTTTACTCTGCACCGCGTACTCATTTAAGGCTGCGGGGACCTACGGAAGGTCCATGACCCGATCAGATAATCGTCGCTGCTGCTTGTGGCAGTGAGTGAGAATCGAACCCGGGTGGCCGGGTTCGTAGCGCAGCTGCTCCCCAACGCACGGAGACGCACAAACCCGAGTTAGATTCCCGCTCACGACCACCAACACCCGCGACGATTATCTGAACCGTTCTTGCGCCTAGCACCTAGTTCGGTGTGTAAACATCACCATTGGGGAGACAAAGGCGGCCCAGCGTGGTGCTGGTCATCCACACCCTTCTGAGTCGTTCCGGCCTTCATTGGTGCTCGTTAACAGCACTTGTCACAATAGTCTGCTAAGCCTATACGGAGGGGGGGGGGTCTTTGTCTTTGTAGAGACGCACACACATTTGCCACGTCCTGCACACTCGCTCGCATGCCGACGCGTGCCCGTATTGAAACAACCCACGGATGTTGAAATGCATAACCGCACACCGCACGCACACGCGCGCGCACGCGACCCCGTTCGTGACTTATAACAAAAAAAAATCCTATTTTATTTCCAGTAAAAGAATGAGCAAAGCATGGAGCCTATGGGGACCGCACACAGCCCAGTATTGTCGAGTGTGGCAGTCATCGGGCAGCAGATGCACCCAAGTCGCGTCGCGTGATTCAGATATGAAATGATATCGGATTACTCGCGAACGGGAACGAGAGCCGATTGGGTGACGCGGGTCGAGATGGGGTTCGCTCCGTTAGACCCGCAACGAGACGCATGCGCAAATATTCACTGAAACAACACTCGCTCAGTGAGCACTAGGTACTCGTTTTAGGCTGAGTCGACCTAGGAGAGGCCCATACATCGTTCAGATGATCACCATTGGCGTTGGTGGCCGTGCGCAGGAATTGAGCTCGGTCGCCGAGACAAAGATCCCCCGTTTAGTCTTAACATACCGTTGGGGCAAGTGCTGGTAACGAGCGCCTATGAATGCTGGAACGGCATTCAACGAGGGGTTGCGTAGTCAGCACCAAGCCGGGCCGCCTTTGTCTCCCCAGTGACGATGGTTACTCATCGCACCAGGTACTCATTTGAGGCAGAGTCGACCTAGGGGAGGCCCAGAACCGGTTCAGATAATCGTCACTGGTGTTGGCTCGCTGGGTTCGTCGTGCAGCGCGCTAACCGCTACAACCACCGCTCCTCAGCGTGTACAACACCACCAAAAAAAGACAAAGATCCCCCGTATAGCCTTAACAGACTATTGGGGCAAGTGCTGTTAGCGAACAGCTATGAAGGCCGGCACTGTGGCAAACGTGGGGGTGGGTGGCCAGCACCACGCCCGGCCGCCTTTGTCTCCCCAGTGGCGATGTTCACACACCACACCAGGTACTCATTTGAGTCTGAGTCGATCTAGGGGGAGGGGCAGAACCGGTTCAGATTTCCGCTACCGGTTGTTGGCCAGGTTCGTAGCGCAGCGTAGCGCTGACTGCTACACGACCGCTCCCCTAACCACCACCACCACCACCACCACCAAACAAAGACAAAGATCCGCCGTATAGCCTTAACAGACTGTAGGGGCAAGTGCTGTTAGCGAGCACCTATGAAGGCCGGAACGGTACAAGAGGACGTGGGTGGCCAGCGCCACGCCCGACCGCCTTTGTCTCCCCAGTGGCGATGCTTACACACCGCACCAGGTACTCATTTGAAGCTGAGTCGACCTAGGGGAGGCCCATGACCGGTTCAGATAATCGTCACCGGGTCGCCGGGTTCGTAGCGCAGCGTAGCGCTAACCGCTACACCACCGCTCCCTTAACCACCACCACCACCACACACATAGACGTCCTCGCGCTCAGGGTGAGGAGGCTGGTGTCACAGCGCCGGTCCATTCGACACACCCCGGGCCCTCCTATAGCCACCTACACCCCTCCTGCGCCGCGTTGTCGGAGCGGTTTCTCCTGCGGCGAAAGTTGATCCGAGAAACTGGCGAGCTGCGGAAAATCGAGGAGGCGAAGGAGGAGGAGGGGAGGAGGAGGAACGCGCTGGCGCGGGGTATGGATGGCACGACCTCCATCACCCAACCCCCGTGTCATGTTTCATTGACAGGCACGACAAGTTTTCTTGAAGAAGAGCCATTGTCTGGAACGTCGCCATTATGTTGATTCCGTATAGGGGCAGTGTTGCAATTACAGCTGTTGTAGGATTCGTTAAGGGTTATTCCGAAATATGTTCGTTCGGTGGGGCCTTGAGATATCTCCGCGCCTAAAACTTCCCTCTAAAATCTAGACAGCGATCGTTGAATTCCCGAATAACATCAACTGGTAAAAAAACTGCGTTAAAGTGTTAAGTAATCGGTTTGATTGCGATGGCGGCGATGATGGTGATGATGGTCAATCTCCCATCACGTGGCAATGTGAATTAACAACGCTTACACACGTGCGTGCGTGTGTACACTAAATCGAGATTGAAGTCGCCTTTCTGCGGAGGCTTGGCGATTGTTCGTGATGGTGATCGTGACATTGGCCGTCGATCAACGGTGGTGCGACGGGGAGTGGGGCAGAGTTGGGATCGTAACGATCCCCATGCATGGCTCTGACTATCGTGATCGCAGCAGTCTCTGGGCGGTGACGAACTTAATGAAGAAGACGACCTCGTGCCACGATGTCCTTGCTGCTCTTGCAACAGCAACAGCAGCAGCAGGACAGCGATTGTGCTTTTGATAGTTGATAGCGGTGGTGTTGGTGGTGGTGGAGGAGGAGGTTAGTGGCGTTTTGAGGGATGGCCCGGTGGGTGTGGTGGGTGGCGTGGGGTGCTCGGGGCTTCGCGAGGTCACGACGGATGAGAGACGTTCGAGCGGGTGGGGTGTGTGGGTTGGGTGTGTGGGTGGGTGAGTGGGCATCTCTGGGCGGTGCCGCAAAACGCCGGTGTCCAAAAATAATCAGTGGGTGCCACTGAGCTGTTGAGATGTGGCGATAGCCGGCCTCTACTTGACGCGCACGTGTACGTGTGTGTAGATATATGTTCTCGATTAAATGTTAGAAATGCGGTAGGCATTTGAACGTCGCCAAATCTCATCCGACTTATCGAACAGCTGTCGCGCGGAATGCTAAAGTCCGCCGTCTCCTCTTCTCGTCCAATTCTCGTTTGAAGCACTCCGTTGTTTCAACTCAAGACTCGTTTAATAGTTGATACACCTACGGAGCAGCACACGCACACGTACATAGAAGCACACACACGCACGGGAGAAATTCGCCTCTAATAACTGTGCCGCACTGGCACGTGTGAACGTATCGAGCGGTACCTGTGCTTGCGCTGGCATTAACATTACCACCGCTGGTCATCAATCCGCACGTAATCGCGAGGCTCATCGGACTGATTAAGAAGTGACGCTTCGGCCGTCGACGCTTCTGATAAGAAACACGCGAACAAAAGACGAAGAGAAAAAATAAAGACATTTGAACAACATCAACAACATCATCAACAACAACTAAAAATATTTAAAGTGCATCGCTCCACCACCACCACCACCGCCTTCCGCCCGCCACCATGGAGCTACTGGACGGGGGCGCCGCCGGACATTTCGTCTCCGAGGCCGAGAACATCATCTACCGTGGCGAGCCGTGCTTCGGCTACGGAGACATCGACTTCCTCGACGACTTTGACCCGCGACTCGAGAGCCCGTCGGCACCCGGCGGCGCTCACCGCGGCGTGGACGACGACGATCTGATGCCGTCGCCCGTCGGGGACGATCAGCACGTGCGGGCCCCGCTTCACGTGGGGGGCCACCACGGCCCGGGCCCCTGCCTCCTGTGGGCTTGCAAGGCGTGCAAGCGCAAGACGAGCACCACGGACCGTCGCAAAGCCGCCACGATGCGCGAAAGGCGCCGCCTGCGCAAGGTGAACGAAGCGTTCGAGACGCTCAAGAGATGCACCTCCAGCAACCCCAGCCAGAGGCTGCCCAAGGTGGAGATTCTGCGCAACGCCATCCGCTACATCGAGGGGCTTCAGCGGCTACTGCGGCAGCAGGGAGGAGGTGGTGGTGGTGGAGGTGGTGGTGGTGAGCTGGTTGGAGGCAACCACGAGGATGGATACTCGGACGGGGGGATGTCGGGAGGGCGAGATGATGCGAGTGGAACGGTGAGTTACGTGGTGAGTGTGTGTGTGTGTGCGTGTGAGTGTGTGTGTGTGAGTGTTGAGTGTGTGTAAGTGTGTGTGTGTGAGTGTGTGCGTGTGTGTGAGTGTGTGAGAGTGTGAGTGTGTGTGTGTAAGTGTGTGTGTGAGTGTGTGTGTGAGTGAGTGTGTGCGTGTTGAGTGTGTGAGCGTGTGAGTGTGTGAGTGTTGAGTGTGTGAGTGTTGAGAGTGTGAGTGTGTGAGGGAGTGTGTGAGTGTGTGTGTGAGTGTGTGTGCGTGTGTGAGTGTTGAGTGTGTGAGTGTGTGAGTGTTGAGAGTGTGAGTGTGTGAGTGTTGAGTGTGTGAGTGTGCGTGTTGAGTGTGTGAGTGTGTGCGTGGTGGAGTGTGTGAGTGTGTGAGCGTGTGCGTGTGTGAGTGTGTGCGTGTTGAATGTTGTGAGTGTGTGAGTGTGTGCGTGTTGAGTGTGTGCGTGTTGAGTGTGTTAGTGTGTGATAGTGTCAGTGTTGAGTGTGTGCGTGTTGAGTGTGTTAGTGTGTGAGAGTGTCAGTGTTGAGTGTGTGAGTGTGTGCGTGTGTGAGTGTGTGCGTGTTGAATGTTGTGAGTGTGTGAGTGTGTGCGTGTTGAGTGTGTGCGTGTTGAGTGTGTGAGTGTGTGCGCGGTGAGTGTTGAGTGTGTGAGTGTTGAGAGTGTGATTGTGTGCGTGTGAGTGTGTGAGTGTGTGTGTGTAAGTGTGTGCGTGTTGAGTGTGTGAGTGTTGAGTGTGTGAGTGTGTGCGTGTTGAGTGTGTGAGTGTTGAGTATGTGAGTGTGTGCGTGTTGAGTGTGTGCGTGTTGAGTATGTGAGTGTTGAGTGTGTAAGTGTTGAGTATGTGAGTGTGTGCGTGTGAGTGTGTGCGTGGGGAGTGTGTGAGTGTGTGAGTGTTGAGTGTGCGTGGGGAGTGTGTGAGTGTGTGCGTGGTAAGTGTTGAGTGTGTGAGTGTGTGCGTGTTGAGTGTGTGAGTGTTGAGTGTGTGTGAGTGTGTGAGAATGTGTGTGCGTGTTGAGTGTGTGAGTGTGCGTGTTGAGTGTGTGAGTGTGTGTGTAAGTGTCTGCGTGTTGAGTGTGTGAGTGTTGAGTGTGTGAGTGTTGAGTGTGAGAGTGTGTGAGTGTTGAGTGTGTGAGTGTTGAGTGTGTGAGTGTTGAGTGTGTGCGTGGTGAGTGTGAGAGTGTGTAAGTGTGTGCGTGTTGAGTGTGTGAGTGTTGAGTGTTGAGTTTGTGTTGAGTGTGTGAGTGTGTGTGTGTTGAGTGTGTGAGTGTGCGTGTTGAGTGTGTGAGTGTTGAGTGTGTGAGTGTTGAGTGTGAGAGTGTGTGAGTGTTGAGTGTGTGAGTGTTGAGTGTGTGAGTGTTGAGTGTGTGCGTGGTGAGTGTGAGAGTGTGTGTGTGCGTGTTGAGTGTGTGAGTGTGTGAATGTGTGTGTGCGTGTTGAGTGTGTGAGTGTGTGAGAATGTGTGTGCGTGTTGAGTGTGTGAGTGTGTGTGTGTGAGTGTTGAGTGTGTGAGGGTGTGCGTGTGTGAGTGTGCGTGGTGAGTGTGTGAGTGTGTGCGTGGTGAGTGTGTGAGTGTGTGAGTGTTGAGTGTGTGTGTGCGTGTTGAGAGTGTGAGTGTGTGCGTGTTGAGTGTGTGCGTGTTGAGTGTGTGAGTGTTGAGTGTGTTGAGTGTGTGCGTGGTGAGTGTGTGAGTGTGTGTGTGAGTGTGTGCGTGTTGAGTGTGTGATAGTGTGAGTGTTGAGAGTGTGAGTGTGTGTGGTGAGTGTGTGTGAGTGTGTGTGCGTGTTGAGTGTTGTGTGTGTGAGTGTTGTGTGTAAGTGCGTGTTGAGTGTGTGAGTGTGCGTGGTGAGTGTGTGCGTGTTGAGTGTGTGCGTGTTGAGTGTTGAGAGTGTGAGTGTTGAGAGTGTGAGTGTGTGTGGCGAGTGTGTGCTTGTTGAGTGTGTGAGTGTTGAGTGTGTTGAGTGTGTGCGTGGTGAGTGTGTGAGTGTGTGCGTGTTGAGTGTGTGAGTGTTGTGAGTGCGTGTTGAGTGTGTGAGAGTGTTGTGAGTGTGTGGTGAGAGTGTGTGAGTGAGTGTAGAGTGTGTTTGTGTGTGAGAGTGTTCGCTTGGGGTGTTGGGGAGCGAGTTCGATTCCCGCTCACGGCCAACACCAAGTGACGATTCTTTGAACCGTTCCTGGGCCTCCCCTAGGTCTACTCGGCCTCAAATGAGCACCCGATGCGGTGTGTAGTAAACATCGCCACTGGGGAGACAAAGGCGGTCGGGCGTGGTGCTGGCGACCCACCCCCTCGTGTGCCGTGCCTGCCTTCATAGGTGCTCGCTAACAGCACTTGCCCCAATAGTCTGTTAAGGCTATACGGGGGATCTTTTGATATATGAGTATGTGTGTTAGTGTCTATGTACGTGTATATATGTGTATGTTTATATTAGTGTATGTATGTGTATTGGTGTCTATGCGTCTTGAGTGTATGTGTCTACTTATATATATGTGTACTTATATATGTGTGTAAGTAAATAGTGAAATGAAATCACTAACACGAATAAACTCTGACCGCTTCGTGATCAACGTTTAAGAATGTGCGCTCGTGTTTTCCCCACTCCGTCCATGGGGGTGTCAATGAGCAGCAACTCGGAGAGGGATCGAGAAGGTAATGGGGAGGAGGGCACCGCGTTAGTCAACACCCAAAGGTGGCCTAGGTAGGCAATGGTGGTGGTGAAGTTGGGGTTAGGAAATGCTGAAGGCGCTGGGCATTTGACATTTCCGACGTCACAGACTGGCAACGAGAAAAAATGAGGACGGGGGAATCGTCGCCATCGCGCACAAAGACGGACGGGTGGGTCAGGAGCGGCGCTTTCAGATGCGCGCTTCTGCGGCCGTCTGGAACGTTCTCCGAATTCCGATATTGGGAAGGCCGCTGCTGGAGCTATGATGCACTTTTAAATCATGTAGATTGAAAACCAAATTTCTTTACAAGTGATTTGTATGCGTTTGTCTTCTCCCTCCGCACGCACCTCTGATTAGCACGGTTGGCTACGTACGGTGTGAAAGAAGTTCAACATACACACAATGTGAAGAGTTTTGATTTACTCAAACGAAGTCAATACATTAACGCAATATAACAATATAGAAAATGTCACTTATTTAACAGGGGATTGATATAATGGTTATCGCGATCAGTCTTAAGATTTCTGCCAGTACATAAATTACGAAAAAATAATATGGGCAAAACAGAAGGCATGCACTGGTTTCAAGGTTATTGGCGAAGATCAGCATGTCACGGCTATGAACTCTTCCCAGTGAATGCACTGCGTGTATATCCTGCTTCGCAGTTAAGGTGAGTACGGCTGGCTACGTACGGTGCGAGAGAAGTTCAACATAACATACATAAGTCAGTGGTCTCTCCTGGTTGTCATTCGCAAGGGCTTAGGGCATTGTGCTGCCTGCGTCAGGGTCCATATTTGACCCCAAAATTACTTATTTGGGATTAAAGACACAGCAGCTGTAGCAGCAGCAATCACCCTCCCACTGAGAGCAGGCCCATGGCCCTGGTCACTCTTGCGATTGACACTCATCCTGGTCTCACCTGACCAAAGAAATAAACTTGGATTTTTATTTTAAGGAGTAATATTTTTTTTTTACTTTTTTTTTTAAACACGCTTTTATGAAATGTACTAGTAATGGAAGAACTCCACGAAGTGGCCCCGAAGCTTGCCACAACGTAAGGAACCGTGAGGCAATTAGACCCAAACCGAAACATAACATATACAAAATATTGTTTAAAAATGTTTTTTTTATGATAGAATATAGTATTGCCATCAGTATGACATAAATATAACAAGTTTGCAGTCGATACCACATTGGGAAGTGGGTTAAAATTGAGTTGCAAGATTTCAAGATACAACAACAGTGAATTAAATAAAAGCTGTACGCACTGACATTCGTGTATGAATATGCACTGTTGAACTGAACTTTTTTCGCACCGTACGCAACCAACCAGTTCAGGTATGTGTATATATATATGTGTGTATGGTGTACGTGGAGCGGTTCGATTCCCACTCACGGCCGACACCAGTGACAATTATCTGGACCGGATCTAGTCCTCCCCTAGGTCGACTCAGCCTCAAACGAGTATCTGGTGCTGTGTGGAAACATCGCCAATGGGGAGACAAAGGCGGTCGGGCGTGGTCCTAACAACACTTGCCCCTACAGTCTGCTCAGGCTATACGGGGGATCTTTGTGTCGATTGCCGTGCCGGCCTTCGTTCAATGCTTGCCCCAACAGTCTGTTAAAAAGTCACCCCACGGGGGAGTCTTTGTCTTTGTGTTGTGTTAATGGGGGTAGGACAGTTAAATTGCAGTAACACACCGAGATGTGCTTCTCCAATCAACATCATCTTGGCATTTCAGTCCATTTGCCACGCCGCACGTCCCACACCCTCTCTAATGAATCGCCAATAAATTAACAATAAATTAACAGGTCGGCGAGCAGACGAATTGGTGGTGGGCTGGTTGGTGGGGTGTTGGCGGGGAGTGGATGAATGCCCACGGGATATTCGCGACAATCGGCGAGTTCGCGTGTGCGAGAGTCTGAACCTCATCCTGCTCCCCACCACGTGAATGCATTGGCAGGACGCCGCTAATCGACGCCGGCGGTGTTCGATTGAAGCAGAAACGACGGAGGGAAAAGTGGGGGGCAGGGAGGAGGGAGGTCTAAGGATGTTAAGAAAAAAGAAAGGAAAGACGGACGCCTTTTTAGACAGACATGACAACACAAAGAGACACCACCAACAACATCAACACGAAGATAATTGGCAACTCTGAGCGGACTTAATGAAGCCCGCTGGATTTATCTCTCATCCAGAGGTCGTCTTCATCTCCCCCGCTTCCTTCCGTCCAACCAGCAGCGCTTGTCGAACCTCTTTCGCACCGTACCTAGCCGACTCGGAGGTGCAGACGAGTACACACGAGTACTAAACAAAGATC